CCTGTAAACTCAGAATTGTGAGACTTAGCCATATAGTTTTATTTTTGAACATTTCTTAAATTTTCTATCTTTTATTCGTGGAATTTTTAAGGTTGTTGGTTTGTTATTTTATGTTGTGCATGTGGTTTGTGACTTCAGAGAAATTATTGTATTTTAAAAGTTAATCTGGAGTGAGATGAGTGATTTTGGTAATATTTGACTATTCAAAAAAGAAACCCCCGCCCATCAGCACCCCTGACAAAATAAGTTCCCATGTTATTAAATGCAAACTCAAACTTGTGAAATATTAACTCAGTATACCGAAATGTAAAGCAAGGAATAAACTCCAAATTGCAAGAAATAATTATAATAATAATATTAAATAAATAAATACAAAATTTGATGATTTCTTTTTTTTTCTTCAAAATCTTAGTTGTTACTTTAATCATTAGAGTTAAAGGCAGAGTTCAGCCAAAAATGAAAACTTCTGTCATGATATCAACACAATCTCATGCAAATTCATACACTTGTTGGTTTAGTGCCTAATTCGTACAATTAAGCACACTTTGCATATCCCCCAATGATGGTTGTTGGGTTTAGGGGTGGGGTTGGGTGCCATGCCTCCTTTATAAAATCCTGTATTTTTGTATGACTGAATCACTAAACTGACAAAAAGTGACTTACTTATGTTTCCTCATGAGATCAGGCTGGATTTACTCAACCTCCACTTTTAAACCTGATTGATTTTTTCTTCTGTTGAACACAACAGGCCCATAGTTAGCCTGTAAAAGGAATGGTTAATTTTTCTCAAAAAGTGGAGCTTCTCGTAGTCGTTCACTTCATTTTATGCTTAATTATGGCATTTAATCACGGCATTTAGTGACATTTTAAACCCTATTTTTAGCTAGAATACCTTGTCGAGTGGTCATCATAACCACACTTTCTGATGTACCTAAAATATTTCCTAAAGATTTAGAATAAAGAAATAATAATTAAAAAAACGTATTTTTAAAATACCATTTTTAAAACTATTTATCATTAGAAACAAATACAAAAAATAAGTTTTTTTTTAATTCATCATTTATAATTTTATGCTATGTATATCATGTTATGTTTATGTACATTATATAAAGTTTTATAACTTTATGACATAAAAGTTTTAACTCTAACCTATTGTCATTTATTGAACAAATAACAATCTGGCCAGCACATTTAATTTCAGAATTTGGCCATTTGAATAGAGAACAATTAATGATAATAATATAGATCTTAACAAGTTTTCTCTTGTAAAAGGTACATTTGAAAATCCTGGATCTTTGTCAGTGGGAAGTGGGTCTTTCGAAAAAATTAAACAGAATGTGAAGTATAGAACTGCCAATTCTCAAAAGGTAGAACTGTGAAATAAAATGCCACAATTACTTATATTTATTAATTTATTGATTATCCCATGATGGTAAATACGTCCATAATTTGGTCTTAATTGGAACATAAATACAGCACTGTATTTCCCTATGCTCCTAAGATAAACACTTCACCTCCCCAAACACAAGCTTAGGACACTAAACGACTGGATCCAACAGTCTCTTATCTAATCTGCTGTTGACACACATTGATTAGTGCGCGAACCTGAACTATGTAAGTTGTGGATATTTATGTTGGTGGACGTCCCCTTACATGTGAGTAAATAGTAAATCCATAGTCTCCACGTGGCAGAGTAGCCTGTATACATTCTGAATAGCCAAAATCCACAATGGAAAAACACGTGCCAGATTAATTGAAAATTGCTTGAGTGATTTTATTCACATAAAACATTAAATGGAAGTAAAGTGTGCTTAGGCAAGAGACTGCAGGTGAGTGAGGCAAAAATTAGTACTAATAATCACAACACTTCAGTTAATTGAGTTATTAAGAGATATTTTTGGTGTTAGAAGTTTTCCAAAAATGTTATGTAATGATTTATTTAAAAAATGCAAAGTCAGATTTAAAATTTTTGTTTAAATTTTGTTTCTTTGTTTCAAAGGTTTTTTACAAAGATGATTTTTTCACTGTTTTTAACAATGGTGAAAGAGGCAAATTATGAATGAGAATATGCCTTGGTAAAAACAGGATAAGAATAAATCTGTGGAGTCTGGTTTAGGAGGACATTTATGGTCCACCCAAAAAAAATATAATTTCCTTCAGATTTTTCCTCACACTAAAGTAGTTGTAAACATTTATGCATTTCTTTTTCCATTTGCACACAAAATAAGGTCTTCTGAAGAACTTTGGGAAAAAGCAGCCGTTTACATCTTAGAGAGAAAATGGCTGTTTTTTTTCCCAAGCAGTCATCAGAATATCTTGTTTTGTGTTCAGCGGATGAAACTCAAACAGGTTTTGAAGAGGCGAGGATGAGTAAATGACAAAATATTCATTTTTGAGTGACATATCCCTTTTCACTCAAGTCTGACTTTTGTGAGAATGTTGAAATATGTGAAACAGAGCGGCATGGTGGCTCAGTGGTTAGCACTGTTGCCTCGCAGCAAAAAGGTTGCTGGTAGAAGTTCTGGCTGGACTAGTTGGCATTTCTGAGTGGAGTTTGCTGGAATAGTTGGCAGTTCATTCCACTGTTGTGACCCCTGATGATGAATGAAAGACTAAGGAAAACGAATGAATAAAATATGTGAAACAGTGTTTCATTGTAATACAGCATAATTTGATATATTTATGAAAATGAAGGAATATACATTTCTTTACCTATACTAATTAAAATATAAAAGCTTAAGGGAGGCAGCAGAGTGGGTAGCACGATCGCCTCACAGCAAGAAGATCGCAGGTTCGAGCCCTTGCTGGGTCAGTTGGCATTTTTGTGTGGAGTTTGCATGTTCTCCCCGTGTTCGTGTGGGTTTCCTCCGGGTGCTCCGGTTTCCCCCACAAGTCCATAGACATGCGGTACAGGTGAATTGGGTAAGCTAAATTGTCTGTATCCTTTGTGTGTGAATAAGTGTGTTTGGGTGTTTCTCAGGGCCTACTCACACTATGCCATCCGTACCGTGCCCAGGCCCGTTTCCCGGATCGTTTGAGAAGTGTGAGTGCGCTGAATCGCGCTCAAGCACGGTTCACTTTGCCGGCCCTGGCCCGGTTGGAAGAGGTGTGCCTGAGCGCGGTACACTTGGGCTCTGGCGCGATACGCTTGTGTGTGAGCGCAAAACGCGCCAAAGCCCGAAACCGAAAGCGAGACGTGACTTTTAAGGGACTGTTTGATATGGATTTATTAATCATTCTTACTGTTCAGTGAACGCAAACTGCCGTAGTTTATTAAAGACGCAAACTCCTCACAGCACGCCAGCTGCGCGCCTTCAGCAGACCTCCTCATTCATGCAGCACGAGAGCTTTATGATCGTTTATGAGCGCCAAAAGTGGCGGATCTGTTCGGCGAAATATCTGACTGCGTGTCCCCGCATCCCTAAGGACTGTTTGGCGAAATATTTGACTGCATATCAAACCACTGAAACGATATAACTAGAGAAATCTCCACTGTGCTACTGGGTGAAAGCGTATGGCAAGCCGTTTTAGCATTTAAACCTTGTTCTGACTATCCATTAGAGATATTTCTAATTATATTTTGACTAGTCATAATTATAATTCGACTAGTCAGAATGACAATTAGAGATATCTGCAATTACAATTGTACTAGTACGAAATCAGATTGGAGATATCTGCAAATATATTATGACTAGTCATATTCCTCCATTGACTTCCATTGAAAAATATTTGCAGATATCTCTGAGTTTTGACTCGTCAAAAATCCAATTCAAGATATCTACAACTGTAATTCGACTATTAGTAAATTAATTAGAGATCTTCAAATATATTTGTAAATATCTCTAAATATGATGAATTAAAGACATCTCCAAATGTATTATGACTAGTAAAAACTCAGAGATATCTCTAATTACAATTGTGACTAGTCAAAACTCATTTACAGATATCTGCAAATATTTTTCAATGGAAGTCAATGGAGGAATATGACTAGTCATAATATATTTGCAGATATCTCCAATCTGATTTCGTACTAGTACAAAATCTGTAATTGCAGATATCTCTAAATGTCATTCTGACTAGTCGAATTATAATTATGACTAGTCAAAATATAATTAGAGATATCTCTAAATATATTTATGGAGTCAGAACAAAGATTTAAATGCTAAAAAGGCTTGCCATAGAGAGCGCTTCTGAACAGCGCAGCAGCGATGACGTAAGCGTGCCGAGGCCCGATATGGTGTGAGCGCGGGCCGTCGGGGGAGACGGGAGGGGGGACAAGCGTGCTTTGGCCCGGTTCGAGACAACTGTACCTAGTGTGAGTACGGCCTCAGTGATGGTTGCAGCTGGAAGGGTATCCGCTGCGTAAAACAGATGCTGGATAAGTTGATGGTTCATTCTGCTGTGGCGACCCCAGATTAGTAAAGGAACTAAGCTGAAAAGAAAATTAATGAAAGAATGAAAGCTCAAGGGATTGTGCAATATTTTGTAGCATCATGAATTACAAATTAAATGTAATAAATAAATTAGAAAGTATTTCTTAGATGTGTGACGATTAAAGTATAAACACTTAAAATTACTGTTAATTAGTAGGCATGTCATATGCTGTTTCTGTCTTCTCTAAATCGTCAAAATGTTTGATAAACAGGACACGTTCTATTGTACGACACAAACAACAACAAGAAGACATTTTAATTATTTTTGACTTTGACCTACATAAAGCATTTGATGATGAATCACGACTTCCTTTTGTCGGGAGAGAGTACAAATATTTTGTACAGAACATCTGTCTTAAACTGAGTGATGCAATAGTAATATGTCCAACTGTCTCACTTTAAAGAAAAAAGTTGTCCCTTCGGTGCGTCAGACTATGACGTCACTCGTAGGGTGAAAAATCATACGAGGATAAGAGGGAGGGGTTTTAAGGGTTTGTTGTATTAGAATGAATGGTTCAAGGGGGTGGAGTAAACTCGCAATTACTACTACACCCGGCTACACGCTTCAGTAGAAACACGGGTTGATTCCAAAAGGAACGGTGTATACGAACAGGATCAGTTTATGTTTTAGTCGAGTCGATTTATTTTTCAAACTTTTGAGATAGCACTTAATAACTGGCTTCACAGGAAAGGTGTAAACGATTTTCAAATTTTAAAGCGAGATGGCAAAAGGAGAGGGAGCAGAGCAGTACACCAATACCAGCCTCTTACAAAAACCCAGCCCAGACGAAGTCAAATTGGCGAAGGTAAGATGCTGAAAATAAAGTATGCTTTTTAATTATTTATTGTATACACAGTGAAATCGTTCAGATGGTTTTCTTGTTGGAGAGCCACGTAACCGGTAAACGCAGACGTGTCATGTCAGGTTGAATTGGGCGCGCACGCCCTTCTGTGCCGCTTCGCGACGCCAAAATTACAGGCTTCGTATTATTATGAAGCATCGTTTGACTGCTTACACGCGAATCTGCTTCCTTTTTCTTCAGTATTGCGCCAAAGTTTGTGGTTTTGTCACGTTTCATTGCTGATTTGCATAGTAGACCGGTGTGAGGATTTGAATGGGAGCCGTTGGCTAAATTCACTGCTGCTGCTGACTGACTGTTCTATTAATGTAACCTACGTGTTATTTGAGCCTAGCTTACAGTGTGCTTAATTAGTTTACCTTGAAACTATTTCGCATTACTTATATTTATATAAATATATCATTTATTTATTTACAGCAGAGAGTTTCTAAAAAATATTCAGTGTAACAGTACCAAATCATTTCAGGCATAATTAGAACAAGAAGCATTTGCCCACATCCCTATTAAAAGAAGGATAATGCAATGGAGTGAATTTTTTTTTTTTTCATTTTTACATAAAATATGTTGTGCTCGATAGAAAATGATTCTACCCATCTAAGTTCATTTTATTAGAAGCCATTAAATATACACTTTGCATATTTAATTTGCTTTCTATATGCTCAAAATCAATTGTGTCAATTAAAAATTTTATCAAGACAATAAAAATCATGACTATGAATTAGCGGATTGATCTTAAAGCAGAAGAAATAAAAAATAAATCTTTATCTCTCCCCAGCACATGCAAACAAACAGTTTAATTCATTTAAATGATTGCACACCTCCACCAGCTTCATGCCAACACCAATACTGTGGTGAGAGCACCGATTTCACATCAATCAGTGGTCTGTCATCAACTCAAAATTGTAGATATAGTAATTATTCTAGCATTTCATCATCCAGATGTGTTTAGAATTTGGGTGTGTGCCACAAGGCATTAATCAATAGTTAAATTGACGGATCTAAGTCTAGACTCCACATGCACAGATGCCACATCATCAGAATGATTAATCCACACCACCTTAAATGTAAACAGTCATTTGGTTTATGAGGTTGATATGATTTCATTGCTGTAAAATATGATATGCTTTTATCGCTGGTAGATAAGCTAAATTAGTTGTATACTGTAGATTCTATGTCAAAAGACTTCCTGCTAACTAACTCTCTCTGCCCTAATTTTGTGTAAATGGTTACAGCGCAAACTTAAAATGATGCCTGACTGGAGTCTTAACGGTTGATTATCTCGCATACAAACCAAACTTATAGTATCGCAATTAAGTAATCCGTTATTATTGAAATTGTTAAATATATCACAGTTTTGAGTTTATTTACTTTCCTATACCTTCTCAGCAACTTTATTTACCCTAAGTGTTGGCATCCTAAGCAAACACAGCATGCAGTCCTGAATTAACAAAAGCCCCACTGACTCAATATACCACCAACAAGTGCTCTATTAACACCCTGAGTCTTTGGCAATGAACTGTTCCCCTTGTCCACCATTATAGCTCTGTCACACTGTATCCACGTCACTTGGACCTTCCAGACAGTAATCCAGTGTCTTCATTACATGACTTTGGAGTGTTAAAATCCTCTCAGTGTCCTTTAACATGAGCAGGGGGTTTTGTGGGAACACAGTGTGCAAAAAAAGAGCAAAGCCTGTGACTTATAGTATGAACATTGCAGCTTTAATGATTTATTTTTGTACGTGTGACTGACACTCAGCTGTTACTGACTAATGTATTTGGAGTCACCGAACTGATTGAAAATCACACCCACACTTGACTTGATAAATGAGAAAGGGAGTGGGCTCTTGTTCAACCCCCATGACGAGCTTAAATTTTTGCTGATCTTCCATGAGTTGATGTGGTGATGTTAATCAGAGAATGCTTTCTCGTATGATTGTGTTCAGTTGAATTTGTCTGCTCAAGGGCTCATTTGTTGACCCAAATATAAGAATCTACATGTTTGAATGCCGAATGAGGCTACGTTTGGATTAGAATCAAATGGCAAGTCAAGCAGAAATGCGTAGTATTAGCATAATTGAAACAGATGCTTGAAACCCTAGCAATTCAACAATTTAAGCCAAATTACAGTATGTCTGGACAAAGTGTGCCTATTTACACCACAATTAGGTTAGTTTAGATCCGTGCTGAGACATGAGTAGGGCCAGACAGAATCTGCAGACATTTTGTGCAAATTTTGTAAAATAAATCTACGGATTTATGCGTAATTATTTTAAAAGTATCATAACTAAAAATGTAATATATGAAATCAAATAATACCTTTTTAATTTTTTATTTAATGTTTACAATTCAAATCCAGTCCCTCATATAACATATCTACTAATAGACAAAGTATTACTTTACAAACTGTATTCTAAATAATCAAACAAACATTTTCATATTAGTCAATAATATTACTGAAATTTATTTAAATACTGTATTAATATCAATTTACCCACGTTTACACAAGTAAATACATAGACTCAATGATGGGCTAAATATATGTGGAAATCTGCAGATTTCTGCACAAAAAGATTCCGTGTGGGCCTAGACATGAGCAACTACTTTGACCTTATTGAATCGAGCATCCATGCTATATTGTGAATGTTTTTATAGTGATTTCTTATTTCTTCTTTTTATAAATAGCATGAAACAAAGAGCCGGTTGTCGGTGTGCAGCAAGTTGTGTTATGCCATTGGAGGAGCACCATATCAGATAACAGGATGTGCAATTGGCTTCTTCCTTCAGATCTACTTGCTGGACGTTGCTTTGGTGAGTAGAGCTCTTTGATTTTATTTATTTATTTATTTTTTCTGACTGATGTTTTTTGTGTGCGTTTAAAAAAAGCTAATACTTTTAAAAACTTCTGTCTAACATGGCATTACAATGCATTTTTGTCAGCAAGCCCACATAGTTCTGTATAGTTTTGTAGCTAACACAGCAGAAACAAAACCTGCTTCTGTTCATAATGTTTTCTGTTATCTTCTTTTGAGTTTAAATAAATTACCAGAGCATGCTCATTCTTCAATATTAGATCACAATATCACCAAACGCCCAAACATAAACCCACCCATAGACTCTCCCCTCTAGGAGATCTGGAAAGTAGTCAAAAGTGAAAAAAAAGAGATTGATTGAAAACTCTAGGTGTAAACAGCAATGTGTCTCCATTGGGAATCAGATTGCTGTAAAATGCATCTTGTGTAGTGTTTACACCTTATGCATTTTCATTGACCAATTGAATAAAAGAGGTGTTTTTTTTGTGTGGTTGCATGCATTTGAATAACCACAGTTATTTACATTATGAAAGCAATCCGATCAAATGTGTTTTCAAAACATTCAGACCCTATTTACACTTGAATGCAGTGTGTGATTAGATTGCTGAAGACATCTTAATACCAGGTGTCTAAGTGGTGTTGATGTCATTGTATTTTCTCATGAGTGTGTTTGCATTTGTCAAGCAGTAATAATAAGGCAGAAACAAAATATGTAGGTTGAAGATCAACATTTTTTGACTTTGACCTGTCTTGCCAAACCCCTTTAAAAAAAAAAAAAAATGTAAACGCCAGGCCCTTTCTCGTACGTTGAATTCATGGAAAGTGCCTCGTAACTGAAGATCAAGTTGACTTGTAGAATGTAGAATATGATTGCGATCCTCAGGGGGCAGTGGGTTTCTTTACACCCCCTGCTCGCATAGTCTGAGACCACAAGTACAGTCACAAAGGGGGAATTGTACTGGAAAATGAATCGTTTTTGCAAAGGTCTTTGGTGCCATTAACTTTTGTGGCTACTGTAGTCTTGGCAGGCTTATTGGCCAGATTAAAGAGTCTGAATAGGATTGTTTTAATAGCCTTCAGTGTTTATCATGTAACCACTGACTACAGAAGACAGGTTCCCAGTGTGTATTCTGCTAATGTGTTTAATCCCATAATTAACAGTTATTCCTACAATGCACAATGTCAGCATGAACCACTTGGTCTGTGCAACATTTCCTCCAGCAACTTTATAATTGTCATGTACTGCAAGTAAAGCCGTTTCAAAGGAGTAACTCCATTTGCTTGTCATGTGACTTATGATGTCGTGCGTTTCAAGGTCACTGGGCACCATGAGCCCTGTGTAAAACTTTGTTGTAGTTTACATGCTGCCTAGCCCTTTAGGCTGCTGTAAATGCATAGGTTTATTGTGGGAAGTCATATCTTTACCTGATATGAAGTGGTGTGCATCTTTTTTTTTATGACCAAAATGGATTGATTTCCTCCCAACCATGTATGGTAATAGTTCTAGTTTTTCCCCTTTTAATAAAGTAAAAAAAATAATATATATATATATATATATATATATATATATATATATATATATATATATATATATATATATATATATATATATATATTTATTAATTTGTCATTTGTTTGACATCAGTCCATTCTAATGCCAAATAAGCTTTTGAAAAATCTCACCCAGTGATCTCTAATGTTGTTGCTCTTTTCTCGATAGTTGGACCCATTCTATGCCTCCATCATCTTGTTTGTGGGTCGAGCATGGGATGCCGTCACAGACCCTACAGTGGGATTTCTTGTCAGTCGGACTCCATGGACAAGATTTGGACGAATGATGCCTTGGTATGTCCTTAAATTCTCCAATGCTTTGTTGTTCAGAGCCATTTCTTACAGACTCATTGAAAAAGACTCTGAATTGTCTCGTTTAAGGGGCATGTTGCCTGTAGTAACGGCTTTGCCCTCTTAGGAAAATTGCTGTTTCACAATTCTACCCTTAAACGACCTCTTTTGTCAAATTTAAAATACATCCCAAATGAATCTCTCTGGTCCGTCACTTGCTTTGTCTTCTGACCTATTTCTCCATCGTTGTGAAATGTCAGGAGGTGTAGACTTTAAGTGGGAGAGCCAAGTATGTCTGGTGATGTTTCTAAGTGAGGGGACACATGGGGGGTCGAGAGACTGTGGATACACTACAGAAGCACTGCCTTTGGGCAATTTGCATTTTCAGTCAGCCAATCTGATTTGATTATACATCACACACATGAATAAACCAGTGACTATCAGTGTCCTGAAAGCAAGAAACATTTGCGAATAATTTGGTCTGTTGAATGGCTTCTCTAGTTTTGCTAATATGTTGTTGTACTTATGATAAATAATTATTTGGAATTTAAAGCATTTCACTTAATTTGCTTCTGAAAGTGATAATACAAACAATTGGTAAGCAACGCATCGAACCAAACATGACATTTTTGAAGCAGAAACCTGTGAAACCTACTCTACTTTGTATCTACAACTTCAAAATCATCTCTAGTTTCAATGGCATATATTAAGGTAGAAGGTAGAAGTTTAATGTCACTTCTAGCAAAAATATTAGTCTAAATTTAGCTAATATTAATCTACCTGAAGTTGCCAATTAACTTTTTTTGAAGTCCTCAAATGCCATTTGACTGGAGGAACACAAACATGAGGAAAAAAACTTTTGACCCTTAACCATTTGCTTACTCACGCATTCTCTATAATGACAGTGATGCCCGCGGCAGTAGAGGTGTCTGTTGTGTGGTTGTCTATATAATGACCAGGGTTGGTAGAAGCTTTGTTAAGCTTATACTGGAGGGAAAACTATTTGTACTGACAAATGAAGCAAATAACCAATATAAAGCTCTGAAAAAGCAGGTTTACTTTAGTTTTATAGGTCATATGATTTTTGCATTTGAAGAGTGTTTTGGCGACCATGCTTTCTTGAGTCCTCAGAAGTAGGAGGTCCCTCATTTGTATGAATAAGTGGAAAACCAGTCAGAGGAAGTGCTGGGAACTGGAGGTGGGTTGAGGGAAATGTGTGACTCCTTTCTAACTGGACAGGGTGCATGTAAAGGAATCTGGTAGAAGGCTGGTGAGAAAGTTATGCCCTATTAAGCTCAATTCAATGACATTGAATCTGAGCAAGAAGATTGTATTCTCTTGGGCGGGATCCATTAGAAGATCCCTAGTGAACGCCAGGTTTGTTCTGGGATGTCACATGGGGTTGTTGTTGGTGTAGTTGTCAGAACATGTGAGAATTAAAGGGAATTTTTTTCTCTCCCTTGCGTATCCCCTTAGAGAATCATAGACCACAAGCCTGTATAATTGAATTTTCTCTGTACTTGATCACGCATATTATTAATAGTCATGTTATGATCAGTCCTGTAGGGCAATTCATTACAAAGGTTTATCAGTAGTGAAATTGCATACTCCTTTACTATAAAAGTCAATATTTGAACACTATTTCCTCATAAACCGCAAATGATTTTCTACAGATGTTAAGATTGAGAAGCCAAGATCATCTCTGATCTGCCTTAATCAGTGAAATATTTTCTGTCTTAAAGCGGCTTGTGAAGTGTAGATTGAGTTATCTGTAGTTTAGCAATGGCATGCATAACATGGCATTTGTCCTGCATTGAGCGCTCAGAAGGAAGACATTCCTTTTTTGTGCCACATGCTATGGGGGTTGAGAGAAATATGCAAATTCGTTGCAGCATGAGTGGTCCAACCCACAACACACCATCTCTGTTGTCCAATCAGAATGAGGGGAAGGCAGACTAAGCAAAGCCTCAAGTCTAATGGCGGCACACTGAGCGGTGGGGTTATTTTAGTTCAAATAGCTGGGTCTTGCGAGTAGAGTGAGATTTATTTGCTATTTCTAAATAGCTCCTAAATAGTAGCCCCTTTTTGCTAAATGTGCACTAAAACATGTGTTCAGTCAAGCCTTTACAATGACATGTTTAATGCAAACTGATAACAAATTGTTAATAAATAGCACATTGATAATAGATAGATCAAATAACCCTCTATCGACCAAATGCAGTCCTACATTGAGGCATGGATAGACATATATATTTAATTGATTTTTAAATATATTGTATAGTCATCATGTTCTTACAAAATAAACTAAAATATGGGTTGTTGGTCATTACTGATGACAAAGATTTAGATTTTTGTCATTTTTAGTTTTATCAGGATGTCTCTGTTGGTGGTTTCAGATGCACTTGAATAACCTTCGCTCCAACAAACTCGGTCCTACCTTTACCTGTTAGGCTCGTTTACACTGATATTTGTTTAGTGCAGGCAAAGTCCTTTATTTAATCTAAGCTTGTTGTAAACATGCACTTTTTATTATGTTAATTGTAGTGTTGATATATTAAAAGTCAAAGTATATTACTTACATTGGCTAACTAATATAAAGAAACATGTACTATCCATAGTTATTATTTCAGTATTACACAATATTGGCAAATTCTGCCTGTGAATGTTGTAATTGAACATCTATATTGTTATTAGCTATTTTTAACAAAAAATAAATAAATGCAGTAAGAAATGTAGTGCTCCTTGATTATCTTAATGGATTATATTTTGCATTTTTAGACAATGCTGCAATTATAATGGATCATTTTTCTTTTTATAGAGCTTGAAATATTTGTGATGTGTCATTCTGATGTCATTCTTTAAGTGAATTAAATATTCTAGAGTTTTTAAATTTGAAGGTCCATGTGGAACTTAAACTCATTTTAGGTAAAAAAAAAAAATCTTAATATCTTAAGATGGGCAATGCTACACTTTTGAGTACTGCGGCCCTATTGGTAGCTGAAAGCATCATGGAATTAGCCAAAATGTTTGATAAATAAACAGCAAGGGGGTGGAGAGGGGTGTGCGGCTGAAAAAAAAAGTGAATACAAACATTGATATTCTGAGTCAATCAGGGGACTTACTGTGAACTCTGATTCTGTGAAGATCTACTCTACAACTAACTGCCAAGTGAGGCTCCTTTCTCCATAAAATCAATAAAGCTAGGGTTTACTGCTCACGTGGAAAGTCACTTTACCAGGAAAACAAATGCCATTCAGTTCCGTGACATAAAGTCTGACTGAAATCAGATTTCCTTGTACAGACATGACAGATAAGAGCACATGCTGTATTTCCACTTCAGCGTCCGCATTAGCCACCTAGGAGTCGTGCAGGTTTATGAACAAAGACAGGAAGTGATCCAGTCAATTTGCTTGTGACTCAATTTGTTGGGAAACTTATGATGACGTCTTGGCTTTTATAATAAAAAAGGGAAAGGATATGACATGCCTGGCACATGATGTGCTGTAAAACTTCACTTAGCACACCTCAACTATGTATGTTATCTGTTTCCCAAACATGCTAATCATCATGATTATCGTTTATACCATTCCACTAATGCCATCTCTTTTACTTTATGCAGGATTGTTTTGTCTACTCCATTTGCTGTACTTTGCTATTTCCTCATCTGGTACGTGCCCTCTGTTGACCAAGGGAAAGTTGTCTGGTATCTAATCTTCTACTGCTGCTTCCAAACATTACAGACAGTGAGTAATCTTATTTATGACATTATAAGTTGTTTCTTATTTGGCTTTGAGAACATTTCCTAACCTTTCTGTTTCTTAAAAAACAGTGCTTCCACGTGCCCTACTCTGCTCTCACCATGTTCATCAGCACTGAACAGAAAGAGAGGGATTCGGCTACAGCTTACCGTGAGTTTTAAAGCATCTACAGCTAGTTGTGTTCTCTGTGACCGCTAGTTGTGTTTGCATGGCTAACCTTTTATCTCTTACCACAGGAATGACTGTTGAGGTTTTGGGCACACTCATAGGCACTGCTATTCAGGGTCAGATTGTGGGAATGGCCAATGCTCCCTGTATCAGCACTGAGATTGACCTGAACTCCACGGGTTTGGAGGTGGCTCCTGACGTCAACATCACTGACCCTCATGTTTCACTGCAGGACCTGGTAAGGCTTTTTTAAAGACAGGCTGTTAAAATTAATGTTTGTTTTTGTAATTTTTATTAAATGGTTTGTATCTTATGGGTTCCACAGAGAAATGCTTACATGATTGCATCTGGTGTCATCTGCGCGATCTATGTTGTCTGTGCTGTGGTCCTGTTCCTTGGTGTGAAAGAACAAAAGGGTAAGTGCTGATACTATTACAAAGACTACGTTTTTCTCTGCTTTTGAAGGATGACTTTTTAATATTTAACTTTTTTTTTCTCGATAAATACAGTAATTCTTCAACATTCAGAAATATTTATAAAAAAGTGATTTGGTGCCCAAATATTTTTTATGGATACCATTTAAGGATATAATTGAAATGGAATTTTTTTTTTACAATTCTAAATGTCTTCCATCAATTTCCATGATGAATAGAAGTATTAACCTAAACTTTTGAAATGCTAGTTTAGATCAAGCGTTTAGTCCACATCAATAATGTCTTATGGCTAAAAGATAACCAGATTAAACTTTTTTTTTTTTAATGTAAAATTTACACAAAGTGGCCAAAAAATTGACAACTCATCCTGCGCTGAACATATTTGGTCAATTTAAATGTCTAAACAGCAGTCCTCATCATAACTCTATCTCAAACCTGACTAGTAAGTAGCGTAATGTTGCTTATGGCTGTAAAATTTCTATTGTTCTGTTAAAAAAAAAAAAAAGGGAAGTGGTTCCTTCAGTTTGCCCCAACCAACTGTGCCGTTTTGGTGGTGAATGTGTAACACTGCTTATCAGTCTCATGGGGCTCTTGCAGATGTGTTCTGGGCTTTTCCACACTGCTCGGGTTACTTTGAATCAGTAGTTGGCCCTTCAACAGAGCTCAGGTGGTCCCAGGGAAATGCCAGGGAAGAAGCTTAGCAGGGTTATTAGCTTTCACAGTACAGAGAGAGCTGTCTAAATGGAGCTTATGGTAAAAGAAGGTCATTATTAGCGTAAACTTTATTTTGGGCCAATTCAGCTGAAGCAAGCATGTCAATATTGTGGGAATGCAGTGGTGAAAGGCAAGCACAGTCTTGACTTCTTATCATGCCACATTTGTGGATTTATAATGCCAAAGGCGTAGAAATAAAATAGAACAAGCAATTAAACAACTTTTTTGTGTGTGTGTGGTTTTCATGTAATGCAACTCTGCAAGTTGTTTTGACGATCAGTGTGCACAAGTTCCCTTTCGTTTTCAGTAGGTTAACACCTAAAAATTGACGGGAATAACCAACAAGCCTATTGTTTGCCAAAGTACTCATTGCATTTGTTGTAGCAATTTTGATTGCCATTTGTTTGATCTAGTGCCATATTTCCATCTCATCTTGACTTTCTCTTCTTTTTCACAGACACATGCAGGGTGAGGACTGAGCCCATGTCATTTTTCCAGGGTATTTGCATGGTAATGGGTCACGGTCCTTATGCCAAGCTGGTCATGGGCTTCCTCTTCACCTCTCTGGCCTTTATGGTAAGTCCTCGTGCAAATAATTTAGGTTGAACTGTGGTCACAACCAGCTGTTAGACTGTTTAAACTGCAACCACCATGGATTAGCAGGACTGTTGACAGCACTATGGCCAATACTTTATTTGTTAGCTTTTCCAAAATTTTCCTTACTTTGTTGCTTATGTCTATGCACATTTCTTGCAGCTTCTGGAAGGAAACTTTGCTTTGTTCTGCATCTACAACCTGGGCTTCAGAAATGACTTCCAAAATGTCTTGCTCGTCATTATGGTGAGTAAAGCATTTTGATTGTGCTTTTTAATGCTAAAAGACTATTATTGAATGCTTCAGTGTAGAAAGGTTAACAATATACAGAGTACTGTCAACTAGATTATTGTTTGAGGGAGAGCAAAAGTTGTTCAAAAAACGAGATGAACAAGTTCATGTTCTTTTGTCCTTGTTCTGTGCGTTTAAACCCACATTCGATATGGAATTCATGTTCATAAAGAGGATTATTGTTGTCATGTAATACAACAATACTGTAGAGTTTTTTTTTCTTTCTGACTACAGTAATCCTGAGGGAGATGTAATGAATAGAATGTTTTTAGACATTGAAAATATGACACCAAGCCAACATTCTCATATTGTTGTCAGGAAGGTGTGTTGGCATTCTTGTTGGCAGTCTGCGCTTATACAGAGATACTGATTTTGAAATCAAATCTTTGTCAGTGAATCGCTTGCATGCCTTATCTATCCTAAATCTGCAAAGATAGAACAGTACAAAAAACAGAGCATGTATTTAGATTGAGGTCATGGCTTTGATTCTCAAAAATGGCACATATAAATACAATTAAAATGTTTGAGAATTTTGCATTAATGTTATTTGAAAAAAGTAATTATTATGATTCTGATTTTCTTTCAGATAATTTGACTTCTGTAATGTTGTGCTTGTAGTTTTTGTCAAATACTTTAATTTCAAAGTGATTATCATTTTCCAGGGTAAAGGTATAGTTCACCCCAAAATGAAAATTTACCCACCATTATGATGTGGTTTCAAACCTTTGAGTTTCCTTTTTCTGTTGAACACAAAAGAGGATACTTATACTCCTCTCTATTCATACACTGACCTTCATACTTGGGAAAAATATACCTATCGGTTTCCAGCATTCTTCAAAATGTCATCTTTTGTGTTTAACAGAAGAAAGAAGCTCAAGTAGGAACTGAAAATATAGAGGCTGAGTAAATGACAGAATGAATCATTTTTAGGTGAACTATCCCTTTAAACGTTATTGTGTCAACCTGAATAAAACTTTCAGAGAAAATTTCCCTTTTTGTCCTTCACACTCTTACAGAATTTCTCATTGAGCCGCTTCTATTTTATTTTCCTCTATTTTAGCTCTCCGCCACACTTGCTATCCCATTTTGGCAATGGTTCCTCACGAAATTTGGCAAGAAAACCGCAGTGTATATTGGGACTACAGTAAGTATTGGCAGTGGCACACTTTTAAACGTTCAGTTAAACTGACCATCAGCGTTTGTCATCTAAATCCTGTTTATGATTCCAGTTACTGATGTTTTATGGTCTCTTTGCAGTCTGTGGTGCCTTTCCTGATCTCCGTAGTCTTGGTGCCAAGCAGTCTTGCTGTGACTTACATTGCGTCGTTTGCTGCTGGAGTCAGTGTAGCAGCAGCTTTCCTCTTGCCATGGTAAATATCCAGCAACAACAAAGAAAATGTGCGCTTCCGAAATTGATGCACTTGTATTCATGTGTGTCTTCCTATGTCCTCAGGTCCATGCTTCCCGACGTTGTAGATGATTTTAAAGTCCAAAATCCTGAATCTCAAGGCCATGAAGCCATCTTCTACTCCTTCTATGTGTTCTTCACCAAGTTTGCATCTGGAGTTTCTTTGGGGGTCTCGACTCTTAGTCTTGAGTAAGTTTACACTACTAACTATAAGGGTGGCACTGGCCAACTTGTTTTGTTTGAGAAGAACAATTCTAAATATTTATCCCCATTCTCGCATATTGTATTGTAAAATTATATACTTTAATTCACGAGTCAATGAGGTCTTTTAACGTTGGATTATAGTCTGCATGATCCAATAAGCCTGGATTTGTGTTCTACTGTATGAGAATCAGTCTGGCCTCCTGACCTGCAGATATAATGCGATTAACACTTCTCTCATGGGTCTTTTGAGTTTGTAGACCGTGACCATGCAGGACAGTGTTTCATGTGAGATTCATTGATCAGTCACGAGGCTGGATTTAACGTGCTAATCTTTTTATTTCTTGCTCTTTGAAACAGTTTCGCTGGCTATGTGACGAGAGGTTGCACGCAACCCGGTGAAGTCAAGTTAACCTTGAAAATCCTGGTGTCTGCTGCTCCCATAGTCTTGATCATTATCGGACTGCTAATATTCATCTCTTATCCCATCAATGAGGAAAAGCGACAAGGCAACCGCAAACTGCTTAATGAACAAAGGTAAATGCACCTACTTACTGTCTGAAGCCCAAATTGTACTTCACTTTTTATCAAGGATGTTAGTTTAACACTCTAATTGAATTATTCATGGAAAACCTAACATGCAGACCCACCATCTTACATTTGAAATGATTGATTATTCATAAACGTGATGCAGGACAATGATTCACTAATATATTTATGTTCCTACAATTCAAGATATTAAAGCAAAAATTCCCATTATTAGTTTTTGTCCCCTATTTGAATTGTATAATTCAGTGGACCCTTTTCACAAGACTTATTTAATGCTCATCAGCATCTTAAATCCTCAAAAGTTTTTCATGTTTAGATAAAAAAAGAATGTATGTACATTTATAAAGCTATACGTTGTATTATATCATCCTTGCATCAAATTACAAAAGAAAACAAATTACAGCTTATGTGAGGTGTTTGTAATGCAGCATCTATGGGCAAGACAGTAAATTTTACATGTTTTCTCTCCTCTGGCTGCCGTCATCAGTCTCACACAATTTATTTTTTTTTCTAAAAGTTCTGGATTTCTCATTTTCATTTTAGTTATTTGATCAGATTGGAATGTGAAACATGTATTTATGGTACTTTCACATTCATTTCTCTATGTAAATCCAACTATGACATGAATTCCACTGCTGAGAAACACGGAAATGTGAAAAAGATCTGTTATGCCACACAGGCCAAAAACTCAGTTTTGTTTTGAAAGAGCATGAGTGCAAATGTCATATTAATTTTATACAGTAGTTCTAATACAACAATGAACAACTGGTACGAGGCAAAATCCTCTGAGTAAAATTTACTCAATTTAGATAGTATTTGATCCTTCTCTAAATTGAGTTACTCAAATTAATGAAAGGATTAATTAGGTGTTGATTGAGCACTGATGGTGAACGCCTGCTGTTAATATGCAGAAATACAGAAAAGAAACCTAAACCTACAACTAATTTCAGTCACAGCCTTAAAAGAAATCAGCTGAAATTTAATGCATTAAATCTCTCAAAATCTCAGCAGAGGATCTACTCGATCAATAAGCAACTCCACAAACAGCGACTTATTCTCAACCCGTTTGTCTTTATTTAAAGAGGGACCAAATACTCTCTGAACTGAGTACATTTTACTCAGAGGATTTTGCTTTGTAACAACAAAAATAATGGCCATACTTTTTGATGAGTGTGAGATTGAGAGAACTAAAAGATATTTGCATGTTTCGAATAAAGCACTGCAAAGTCATTCTCTGTGCATGCTCATTTCCTTTTAGATGAAGAGGAATGTTTGTAATGTGCATGTCAAGTAACAGTGCTACACTGTGTTCAACTGTATACTAGCTTTTACTGTAAAACAAAGTATATGTCGGGCTTCCATTCTTCCAGTCACATGTCTTGCTTAACTTGAGCCTGCTCAACATTCTCAAAACTGTAAATTCAAACGTTTAAATCTGATTAGTAGCATTCTTGTTTTTTGGGGGGGCTGTGATTCTTTAATTTTGCCTAACTCTGACCTGTGTGGCTCTTTTACAGAGAAAACGAGATGGATTCAGAAACGGACTCCACTGAGCTCAATGTGGTTTAATACCACCAAAAACCCTGGACGGGACATTGTGCCATTTGAGTTGGACCAACAGAGCTGGAACAAACCAGAGCGAATACTCTGAACCAACCATGCCTTGTGGCTGAAAGCTTCCAGCATCATCACAAATATGGATCAACTGGAAACGTAGCCTGTGCCAGCTCAAGCTCAATGTGCCTTGCCATTTTCAGTTGCAAGAACTATTATGGAGTCGGCTTGTATGTGTTGCCAGGATTTGTCCTGCTTACTGGTTAAAAACAAAAAAAGCCAGCTTTTGAAAAGCACACATCTATATACTGCACTAAGAAAATGACGAGGTGGGACATATCTACCTTTTAGATGAGACTTGAAACATTTACAAAGGTTTTTAGGTGCTAAAACCAAAAATGCTTTTCAATCTGATTTGAAAAGTGCATTTTGGAAGGAATATCTGTGAACTGTACACTACAATGTTTGTATGTAATTTAATATTTATAAATGCTTTTGTGCTTCTAACTAAATGAGCAAACTTGAAACCATGACACCAAGTGGGGTTTGATTACATCAAACTGTAGTATTGCACACAAAGTTACCACCTTTTTCTTCTTGTATTACTTTCCTTTTCATCTTCGTGGGGCGTACAGAGGGATGTGCTGAGGGAAAAGTGTACAAATTTGATCCCTCAACACCTTCGAATTAGATCGATCAATATCCACTAAAGTACTGCTGAGGCTTTAAATTAGATGAACGCCATCAGAATGTGTGGGCTAGAAATGTACGATTATTCCTTCTGGTGAGAGGTGAAGATTATTTAAGTATTTATTACTTTTCTTTTAAATCATATGTTGATTTGATTGTCTTTTTCTCTCATCTTCCTTAATTTATCTTGTTTAAGGGCCTGTCACATAAAATAAGGGCAATTAGGGTAGAGCTGTCACTGCTGAATTATATCTATTATGCCATTAATTCCTATGGAACAGCCAACCAGTGTGTTTACAGGTGACACTACTGTTTGTTTAGGTGTTAAATGAATTTGATTTCTGGTCTGATCGTTTTGATTCACCGTCTAGTCTAGTGCTTTTATTATTGTATAGTATTAATGTTGGTTCTCAGCCTGTAACTAAGTGTCAAAGATCTGAATGCCAAGTGTTCCCTACAAATGTGTACGTGCTGTGAAATATGTACATAAACCTGTTTTCATTTTCTATCTTTTGGGGGAAAATGGAATTATTTGTAAATAACATTTGTGTATATACGAGTGTTGTATGTTATACATATGTACATTTGATGCACATTGAACTCGCATCGGTGCAGTTTTTTTGCATGTTTCTGATTAATACTGTTTTCTAACATGTCAGTTTTGTATTGATGCAGCATCTGTGACATTTCGATTGCTCTCATTAACCCCAGTTTGTGGTTCTCTGTCAAGATTTCCGCATTCTGATATCAAAAATACAGTTAATGTAAATAATAAATGTGCTGATGTTTGTACAAAGATTTTATATATATATTTTGGATGGAATCCTAAATGTGTGTGTGCGTGTGTGTGTGTAGTTATTTAAAAGAAACAATGGAAATAGTCGTTAATAAATGGTAATTGATATTAAAAGATCATTGTGTCTTCTAATTTTCCACCTATACAATTTCAAAACGCTTAAGAAATAACATGAATAAATTTGTTTTCTATCTATCTATCTATCTATCTATCTATCTATCTATCTATCTATCTATCTATCTATCTATCTATCTATCTATCTATCTATCTATCTATCTATTTACTGTCTATCTATCTATCTATCTATCTATCTATCTATCTATCTATCTATCTAATTCTAGACAGATAAACTTGTATTATTTATTACTGCGGTAATGATTAATTCATTTATTGATTGGCTGAATAAAAATATAATAAATGTTTTGCATATATTCTTATTTTTATTATTTGGCATGATACTAGATGGTGTATAGTACACATTCAGTTTTTATATAATGACATAAAATAACATTTTATATTCGTAAAGGTAAATGGCGTTATACAAACCTGATTGAGCGGGAAAGATATACGCTTTTTTAGGTTACCGGCGACGACATTTTAGAAACAAACTAGACCCTCCTGTCATTTTGTCAATATTATTTTTTAAAACAGAACAAAGACTGGTACTGAGTCTGTCGGTATGAACTAAAAAGTTTATTAAATATTAAAAAGCAATTTATATAAAAAAGTTACCTAAGAGTTGGGGCGCCTCCTGGAGGAGAAAATTCGACAGCAGCTTAGTGATCGTCCCTCGATTACTCGTCCTGCTGATGATTGCTCGACAATTTATTGTTCAGAGCTGATGCAATACTGCCATTACAAGGCAAAATATGTTAAAAACTGTTATCTAATACGTATTTAAGTGCATTTATAAAATTATAAATAATTAGATATTTTTAAAAATGTGTCTATACAATTTTAACTGAAGTGTAATTAAACTTTTATATTAGATGTGGCTTTTATTATGATACACGTGATGAAATCTTGGTTCAACCGGAACAGCCTGTCACCGGCACACACGTTTCTCAGCGACCGCCGGTGAGATATAATGTATGTTATTATGAACATCAAAATTTTGTTATAGTTATTATCACTGACGATTTATAAACACAATATTCACATTTATACCGACACATTTTCCGCTCTGCAGTGTTTCTAGTAACGTTACTGTGTTTTAGACAGCTCAGCGATTCATTCATTACAGACGTCACTGATTCTGAATAATTGAGATCGTAAAAACGTCAATCGTGACACAAAGTTTCTACCGAAATGACAAGTTCTGTGTATGTCTATTACTTGACATATACACTTATAATACCTTATTTTGCACAGAAGCAGCAGACATCATGGGAGAGCAGCTGAGTCCTGATGAGAAGTTCCAGCTCATCACCAGAAACCTTCAGGTGACAAACGTGTTATTATTGTTTGCTATGAGCTAAAAACATAGTTAACATTTAAAGTATATTATCAAAAGAATATTCGGAAATACATTTAAAAAATAGTTTTTGTTTCATCTTCATTTGAGTACAAGAGCTGTCACACCCTGTTGTTTTCTCTATTGAGGTAAAGTTGGTTTCATTTTCTCACGTTCTCCTTAATAATATTCATTCATTCGTTCATTCATTTTCTTTTCGGCTTAGTTCCTTTATTAATCATAAGTCACCACAGCGGAATGAACTGCCAACTTGTTCAGCCAATGTTTTACGCAGCGGATTTCCTTCCAGCTGCAACCCAGCTCTGGGAAACACCCATACACACACCGCGGTCAATTTAGCTCATTCAATTCACCTACAGTGCATGTCTTTGGACTGTGGGGGAAACCGGAGCACCCAGAGGAAACCCACGCTAATACTTAGAGAAGATGCAAACTTTAAACAAAATTGCCAGCTGACCCAGCCGGGGTTTAAACCAACAACCCTCTTGCTTTGAGGCAGCAGCGCTACCCACTGTACCACCGTGTTGCCTCCTTAATAATATAGTTTCCGCCAATATAGACAGCATTGTTCAGTCAAATAAATAGTGATAGTGTTGTTTTGAAGTCATACTTGTACTATGGTAAACAATATAGGGAGCGTGTCACAAGTTGTCACTTAACAAATGTGCGAATATAAAACCAACTTTACCTCGATGTTTTCTCAGGAGGTTCTTGGTGAGGAGAGGTTGAAGGAGATCCTGAAGGAGCGGGAACTGAAGGTTTACTGGGGAACAGCGACTACAGGCAAACCCCATGTTGCTTACTTTGTCCCCATGTCAAAAATTGCTGACTTCCTGAAGGCGGGCTGTGAGGTTTGTATTCAGCACTATGTATTTGTTCTGAATGAGCATTTAGTAACTTATTTGTCTTTTTAAAGATCATTTTTAATTGCTTGAATTAGGGATCTGTATATAGCTGTTTCTGGGTAAGAAATGATGGATGTATTCATTTATCAGTCAATGTAGTCTAATACAGTTTTTTTTACAGTCTAATACTGTCTCCTTTTTTTGTTACTTTTTTTGATGAAAGAAATGACTAAAACCATATTTGAGGATCACAGTGCTAAGCGGTACCAAACATTATAGGTTATGGGAACCTTCTATTTGTGGGTTGCTTTTTGGTTTTGCTCCTGCTGAATATGCAGAAAAATGTTTTAAAGAAAATTGGAAGCTGTATTTATTAACATTTACCGTAATAAAAAATTCAGTGGCTTTCAGTTTCCAAAGATATCGTCCTTTGTGTTTGAAACTCAAACAGACTTGGAATTATTGGTGGATGAGTAAATAATGACAGAATTTTAGTTTGTTTTTGAACTATACTTTTAAGATGCTTTCATGTGAAATTGTTTGTAAAGGTCACAAGAATAAGTTACAAAAATGTGATCTCACATCTTTGCCCCTCTCATACCTATTTGTCCATTTGTTCTCAAGGTGACCATCCTCTTTGCTGATCTCCATGCTTATCTGGATAACATGAAGGCTCCCTGGGAGCTGCTGGAGCTCCGGGTGAAGTATTATGAGCAGGTCATCAAGGCCATGTTGGAGAGCATTGGAGTTCCTCTTGACAAACTCAAATTTGTCAAAGGCACAGATTATCAGCTCAGCAGGTAACCGGATGATGATTGACTGAAAATTTGTTTTACGGATATTTCAGGTTTATTCCATAGAATAAGAAATGTATTTTAACCATGCATGTATAAGGTTTGTCTGTGGTTGCTTTGTTAAAAAGAATAAATGAAAATGTCATGGTTGGTTTGTTATAGAGAATACACTCTGGATGTTTACCGACTGTCATCCATGGTCACTGAACACGATGCAAAGAAAGCAGGGGCAGAGGTGGTCAAACAGGTTGAGCATCCTCTTCTCAGTGGTCTGCTGTATCCTGGACTACAGGTATGCAGATTGGGTTTTTCCCATCTTTGTCACCTACTGAAGGATTAAAACAGCTTTTAAAAACATCTCTTCATTCTTTTTTCAGTTTTTTAAAATGATTGTTATTATTTTTAGAACTTGTATATATATTTTAACTTACTTTATTAAAATTGCCACACATTCTGTTCTGAGTCTATAAAATAATCACCAAAGTTTCCACAAAACAATTGATGCTTAATTTGAAGGAACGTGTAATGCGGAAAACAGAACTAATGCTACTTAAAATTCAGCTTGCTAATATTACAAGATAAAAATTACCTAAATTGTGAAAAGGTTTGACACATTGACTCTGCGTTTAGTTTGGCCTGTCACTATATCCATGGTACGATATATTGCACCATCATGTTTTGCTATAAACAATATTTAGTGTTTCCTATAGGATTTTTCCAGCTGTGGTGGCAGGCCTTTTTTACACAGATTTACCAACTACCTGTGGTGTTATTTCATTGACAAATGTCGTGAGCGCAGTATTACAAGTCGAGATGGCATTAATTTAATACCAGCATGTGAATCTCCTTTCTTGCGCGCCGATTTCCTCTGTTAGTGCACAAAACTTCTTGCACGCCCTCAAATATACGCTGCTCAAGTGCATCTTTTTGTGCGTTCTCAAATAAACGCTGCTGAGGTGCGATTTAGCGCATTTATATAGGATGTCTCCAACATTTATTTGATTTGCTAGGAATTTTATGAATGTCTCCAATAGACATACTGAGCGGCATTAATGCATCCTAAAGTAAAGTGAAACGACTATAAACTCCAGCAAGATAAAGTCTTTGTATGCAGAGCCCTAGACCTTTATCTATAAAGTATAATTATGGTAACTGTGTTCATCTTAACTGAAAGCAAAGTTGTGTTTGCTAGCATCATGCACCTGTCAGTCAGTCATCATATCACCTTAAATGCTTAAACATATAGCACACAGCAGTACTACGATTACTGAAAAATTTGTGCTGTTATAATTCACTTACCTTTTAATACGTTTTGTTGCGATTATTACCTGCTATTTAAAAAAACACGAGTGAATGTTGTAATGTAGCCGTGGCGGGATGAATTTTGGCATGGCGCCCCACCACGGCAGAATAAATGTAGCGGAAACCATGATATTAAGATAATTTAAAGACTATTTTGACACTAAAATAGCATCATAATGCAAGTACAATCTTCCAAAGACATAATATTTTTAATTCTTAAGTATATTTAATTTAATTATAGTTATTTTAACTATTTAATAATTAGGCATTGGAATCAGATTGTGAAAACGTATATTCTAAACAAATGTATAAATAATAATCAATGTAAACAAAAATGTGCAAGGTAAAAAGAACTAGAAAAATGTAACTGATCTTTTTTCTGTCATCATGCAGCCACATGAAAATATACTATAGTAATTTATAGTAAATACTAGTGTTTTTTAACCATACTGACAATGACACATCTAATAGAGATATAGAGGCTGTGCAATCAGCTTAAATGTTGCTGGAATTGCTTTTTATGTAGTGGTGATATATATTACATCTCCAAAAGATAATTGAGGTCCCCGTGTTGTGCGACAAGTCAATTGATTGATTGTTTTTATTGGACTACTTTTAGTACTTTTAATTACTTCTGTTTTCATAATTAAACCTAAATGATTTTTGTAATGAATTCATCATACAGTTTTTAAGTATTTTAACTAGCTGCTCATTCCATACACTGTGTTTTTTCATTTCCATCAGGCACTGGATGAGGAATACCTAAAAGTAGATGCTCAGTTTGGTGGTGTGGACCAGAGGAAGATCTTCACATTAGCTGAGAAGGTACATTTTAAATGTATTATAATCATATTTTGTTCCAGTAATTCCAATACACTGGACCTTACATTGCATATTCGGTATTATAAGTTTTCATTTCAGATGCAAAATTAATAGGAGACTACTTATGTCAGGGGTGCCCAAACTCGGTCCTGGAGGGCTAGTGTCCTGCATATTTTAGTTCCCACCCCAATTTAACACTCCTGACCCAGCTCTTTAGGAAGCTGGAAACTTTAGGAACTTTAGGAAGGTGTGTTGAAGGAAGTTGGAGCTCAACTATGCAGGACACCGGCCCTCCAGGACTGAGTTTGGACACAAGTTCGGACTTAAGTGAGTCGTAGGATAAGATTTACTAATACTTGCGTGTCACGGTTTCATGTTTGCTTATTCAGTTAGAAGCACAAGAGCATTTATAAATAATAAAATACATACAATCATTGCCTACAGAGTGTACAGGTTCATAGATATTCCTTTCAAAAGCAAAGGATATATTTACCCATCGCACACCTGTGTTGTCAGTTGATAACATGTACCAGCTCTGCTTATTTGCGACCTAATTTGTACGGCTCTTTTATAAGATGTTTGTCATCATGGAAATGGGCGGCATTAGTAGTGGTGGTGTGGAGAGACCCCTCCTCATGATTGTGAAGCTCTTTGAGTGTAAGGCTGTACACAATAAATGCAATATATATATATATATATATATATATATATATATATATATATATATATATATATATATATATATATATATATATATATATATATAAATACACATACACGGTCCCACTTTATATTAAGTGTATATTAAGTGTCCTTAACTAATGTACTTGCATCAAAAAAATAAATACAATGTACTTACTGTGTTTATGATGTATTTGAGAACACTTGTGGTGCTTTTTAGTTGGGATAGAGGTTGGGTTATGAACAGGTTTGGTGGTATGGGTAGGTTTAAGGGAGGGTTAAGGTGTAAGGGATGGTCAGCCGTGTATTTACAAATGTAATTACAAAAGTTAATTACAGATATAATTACATACATGTATTTAATCAAGCAAAAGTACACAGTAAATACAAGTATTTACACAATAAGTACATTGTAACAAACTATTAGTTCCTATGTAAGTACATATTAGTTAAGGCCACTTAATAAAAAGTGGGTCCAAATACACACAGTACATTACCTTACTTTTGCATTACATTAGTTTACATTCATTCATACTTTGTTAATAGATCACTCACACACTTAAGCAGGTTGCACACCAGAAGCGCCGCGCAGCGCCACGCCGCGCAGCGCCACGCCGCGCCATGCATTTTAGAATTCTAAACATAGGTTTCTATCAGGATACACACACCGGCGCCACAAGTCGGCGGCTGTCGGCGGCGCCCGGCGACGGCTCAGGACGCAGTTCATTTTTCAGCCGCGCCACAGAGCGCCATCTGATTAGTTTCATGTTAAATATCATTCGAATGTGCGCGTCTGTTGTGTGATACTTTAAACTGTCATGTACGCGCCGTGTCGCGGCGCCGAGCGGCGCTTCTGGTGTGCGACCTGCTTTAGTGTTCAAATTAGTGTTCGTCTTTTGCACTGTTTATTAAATGCCTTTATTAAAACTTTCTTGACGTCTGTGTTTACACTTAGTCTACTCAGTTATTAGCAATAACCATGTTAGAAATTAGATAAATTTTATCGAGTATATTAAATAATGGTCTTAACTAGATATAATGTTCCTATGAATTATGGTTGAGTTGGCTTGTTTTACAGTACCTGCCTTCCCTTGGGTACACCAAACGTAGCCACTTGATGAACCCAATGGTTCCAGGACTGACTGGGAGCAAGATGAGCTCCTCAGAGGAGGTACGGAGGCACCTACAACTTCTTTCACGAGTTCATGAATATAATAAAACAAATAATTCCATAAATTTCTTGTGTAACATCAGGAATCCAAGATTGACCTGCTAGACAAGAACCAAGATGTGAAGAAGAAGCTGAAGAAGGCGTTCTGTGAGCCTGGAAATGTGGAGAATAATGGAGTTCTGTCTTTTGTCAAACACGTGCTTTTCCCTCTGCACTCAGGTGAGCTTGGGAGAAAAAAATAATAATCTTCACACAATGTAAACATCTAATCAAGTGCTTAATGATGTGTTTCGTTTACAGAGTTTGTGATTAAAAGAGATCCAAAGTTTGGAGGTGACAAAGTCTACACAGATTTTGAGGAAGTGGAGAAGGACTTTGCTGCAGAGGTACAGTATCTGAACAGTGTCATACACTTCAAATTTTTTAATTCAAAATTGTATTGGCTTGTAAAATAAATCCCCTCTGCTCTCCAAAGGCAAGCAAGTGTTTCATGATCCTTCAGAAATGATTTGTATTGGCTTATTTGGTGCAAGGGTATTTTAAATATATAATTTATTTTTATATGTTAATATTAATTGTTCTAATTAATGTTGAAAACCATTGTGGTGCATACTATTTATGTAGAAAAGGTGATGCATATATTTTTGTATTATTTCATTAGTAAAAAGTGAAACAAAAAATTAATTTAAATGAAATAGAAATCTTCTGTGATGTTCATGTAAGATTAATGTCTTTACTGGGAAGTTTGACAAATTTATTCCATTGTTGGCAAGTTATTTAATTTAATGATAATTATTTTATCCAGATTTTTAATAGTAGTGTTTTAGAGGTTCCACACAAAATGTTTTAATAATAATTGTTCATGTAGCATCAAATTAGCATATTAGAATGATTTGAAAAGGGTGATATGACACTGAAGAGAGGAATAATGGCTGCTGAAAATATACATAGCATAAATAAATGAATAATTATTAAACTATTTAATAATTTAGCACTATTATATTTGTTTTTTATTTTTTAAATGAATCTTAGTGAGCAAGAGGCATAAATAAATTAATGAATAATTAACTATTTATTAATTTAGCACAATTATATTTGTTTCTTTATTTTTAAATGAAACTTAGTGAGCAAGAGGCGTCATTTAGAAACATGAATTACTTCATTTATTTCTCCAAACAGGAAGTTTGTGTTAAAAACTGATGCATATGCTCACCCTGCACTTCTCACCCGCAGCAAATTCATCCAGGTGACCTGAAGGCTTCAGTAGAATTGGCTCTTAACAAACTGTTGGACCCTATCAGGAAGAAGTTTGAGAGCCCTGAGTTGAAAAAACTGACATCATCTGCTTACCCAGAACCATCTAAAAACAGTGAGTGAAAATGCATATCTAAAAAAAACATTTTAAAATGTTAGACTGAGTTTCAAGGTCTGATTCGATTGTCATTATTTCACAGAAGGAGGAGCAAAGGGCAACCCTAAACAAACCACAGATGACGATGAGGTCATCCCATCCAGATTAGACATCAGAGTGGGAAAAGTCATCAGTGTAGAAAAGGTAGAGACTGCAAACTTGTATGAGCATTTTAACTTCTATGATGTCTAAAGTATCGACTTCGATAACTGTCAATACTGAAATTTTAAAAGCTTCTTCCCACTGTTTGGCTGCTTAGTTTGTGCTCAACAGATATAAAAGTGATTATCTCTGAAGGTCAGTTGACATTTGAAAGCCACATCTATTAGCTAATCCATCAATGAGTGAATATATGAGTTATCCGCCAATGTTCCAGTGTTTTTTTGTGAGTAAACAATGTTTGTTTTGAATATGATGGAGTTTTTAACTTGTGGATTATCAGGAATTTTTGTTTGTCATTTATCAATTTTTTTTTCACTTTGCTCTTTATCAATATATGTTTTTTGTACTTGTTTTTTTCCACACCTATTGCAATGGTAATAATTCAGCTCCATTTTATTGCTTTCCGCTCATCAACTTGCAGTCACTTAAGTCACAAGACTGTATCTGTTAACTAAGGAAAACATGTTGGGATAATGTAATCTTTTAAAAAAATGGCTCCGATATGACCAATTTTTTAAAGACAAAAAGTGTGACAAGCTAAATATGTTTGTACTATTAAACTATCAAAAATTGGACAAGGAGTACTTCAAAGCCACACAAAGTACTTCAGTTTTTTTTTTTTTAAATCTGAGGGAAATTAACCATTGTTATTCTCATAGTCTCTAGTAAAGTCATGGGAAATTATATTCAAGCTATAACCCGCAGTCTGTTTTTATCCTCTTTAGATGTCATGGAAATTATCTTTACAGTTAGGAAACTTGATATTTGGCTTAAAGTTGATGTGGCTTTTAAATAGTCTGTGTATCTGTGTTGTATTTTATGAAGAGCAGTGAATTGATGGCCTTCAGAGCCAATCACAGTCATATCTGTTGAGCACATGACCAATGGCCAATCTGCTAAGTCTGATATGTCCTCAAATGCCAGTAGGAATGCTACTAAAACTTTTTTTGTATCGATCGGTACTAAAGTCGATACTTTTGAAAACCCTATAAGAGTGTATTTAAATAATCTTTGTCTTGATCTGTTAGCATCCAGATGCAGACTCACTATATTTAGAGAAGATTGATGTGGGTGAAGAACAGCCGCGGACTGTAGTGAGTGGACTGGTGGCTTATATCACAGAGGAACAGCTTCAGGACCGACTCGTTGTGCTGCTCTGCAACTTAAAGCCCCAGAAGATGAGGGGGATTGAATCTCAAGCAATGGTGCTTTGTGCTTCAATGTAAGTAGAGCACCAAACACCCCAATTGATTGACAGATTTTCATAGTAAAAGTAATTTTTTTGCATTGATCTTTCTAAATGTTTTGGCCTTTAGCGAAGGAGAGCCCAGGAAAGTGGAGCCTTTGGATCCACCAGAAGGATCTGCAGCAGGAGATCGTGTTTACGTAGAGGGCTATGAATCTGGCAAACCAGACGATGAATTGAAACCAAAGAAAAAGGTGTTTGAGAAGTTACAGGTATGTGGTGTTTGTGTTTTGTGTGTTTTATATATTATTTGTACTTAAATCAATGTACTTTATGTAATTTCTTTTCGGTAACACTTTAGTTTAAGTATTATTTATATTAATTATATTAATATAATATTAATTATTACTTATAAGGTAATGGTTTTATTCCTACCAAAACCCATCTACTACCTTACTAACTATTAAAAAGCAGCTAATTAGTAGTTTTAGCTAATAGTGTTAGTTAATGGTCTGTTAATAGTGTAAGTTGTATATTAAAGTAACAGGCGACCGAATTTTAAGTATTAATCACTTTTCTATTGTCATTAGGAGCCAACAAATCTTTAAAAAAAATTGAGACCTTGCCCAAATTAATGTTTTCTATGAAAAATTTGTTTCAGTATGTCATTATACATTATTTTAGCTTAAATTAAAGGATAAAAAAAACCTATAAATTGCTGGCTGTTGTTTATTGCCCACTGGTCTCACTAATAATAGTAATAGTTTCTGAATTCTACACATAGCTGCTTTTAAGGTATCGTTTTGTCTTCATGGTTTTATATTTATTTGTTTGATCTCTTCAGGTTGATCTGAAGATCTCCGGCGAGTTTGTTGCACAATGGAAAGAGCAAAATCTGATGACCAAACTTGGACGAATCACCTGCAAAACACTTAAAGGTGGAAATATCAGCTAGAATATCCACACTATTTTTCTCAAGCTCCAGTGGGAGAGTTTTCATGACAGCCGTAATCCACATAACATCTACACTGTGTATATCACTCATCATAGGCATCAAAAACTGAACTAATAGTTCACCATTACTGCAGAAGAATGCATAGGAGTATTGTCTGTCCTTTACATTGCATGTAATGGCGTCCAAGATGATTTATGCATTAAGTACTGCAGTAAACATGCTAATATGCATTAGTGATAAATGGGGAATCTTGCAGGAGCTCATCTGTTATCTTAAAACTCAGGTTTTCCTGTGGTGCCATGTCTGTTGATCAGTGCTTATAATGATCAGTGTGACAATGTACAAACTATTATTTAACCTTCAAAGTAAACGGTTCAGATGTGGGACAATCTACAGTATATAAACAGCAAAATGTTATGGTGAATATTTTAAGATTAGTTGTTCCCAGAAAACAGCTAGAATTTCAGATAACGTAACATTCAGATCTAATGTTAACCAGACTCACTCAAATAAAGGATGATTCATAACTGATTTCTGTATGTCTTGATGGAAATTATTGTAGAGATGTCTTTAATTTTTCTGTTATTATCTCTTAAAATGAGGTGTTTCTTTCATTTTAACCAGAAAATACAAATTTTGGAGCCGATTTAAAAAGAAGTGGTAATTTAGACATTAAGGTTAAAGATTATTGGAAAAACAACTTATTTTCTGTGTATTTTTCTGTGCTGAAATAGTAGCTTTATCAGAAAACAAAGACTGCATTTACACTGCATGATTCAAGTGACTCCATTTTGTGGCACAGATCACATATGGCCCGTGTAAGCAGGACACAATCACATGGATTACAATTTACTCAAATCAGATTCAGGCCTTGTTCATATGTGGAAATTTATTCAATATGACTTGAATTTGTGTCCTTGTGTCTGCAGTGTAAGCAGGTAGATCTGATTAACACCTATCAATGTGAGCTGTGCCTCATTAAAAACCATCGCTAATAACGTCAACACTGATGCTTTCATTTCAGAACAGATTTCAGCAGAGTCCCAAACCTAAAATCTCATACACGAGGACTAAAAAAGCTTTTGTATTGTCATGTAGCACAAGTATTTAGGCATGTTTAACGAGAGAGAGAGCAACATCTGCCACGTAACCAATTGTAAAACTTTTTCATACATCACATGCATAAATCGTGCTATTGACATTAGATTAAGATGCCTACTGGTTTAAGTAGGCCTAGATTAAAAGAAGAGATGAGAATGTTTCTGTCATAAACTATAGCAAAATGATTTGTCAAAAGAATTTAAATCAATGAAACCCTGGGAACAGATTAAATACAGAAATGGAGAAAATAGTGCTCTTTTATTATCAGCTGTCAGTCAGTGCCCACTCTTTTTTTTTTTTTTTTGTCTTTACTGTTTGCTGTGTAAATGCAGACAATCAGATACGAACCACTTTTAAAAGATGATGTGAACAGGTCATCAAAAAGAATTGGATACAGGTCACAAAAAAATCTGAATTGTCCATCAAGATCTGCAGTGTAAATGCATTGTTAATATTAATAACTGCATTAATCATGCAAATTTATAATGATATTTCTATATGTTACGTTTGTATGGTCAAGTCATTAATGCTAAGAACACAATTAAAAAGTGAAAACAGGGTAAATCTATAAATATCTTTAATGCATATTTCATTTTAAAACAGTGTAGCACTTCTATTCACCCCCTCTTGAAGCAAATAGCTACTAAAAATTTTGTATATATACATTTTACATCAATTCCAGAGGGACCATCAGTCAATACTCTTACCTTTTTTTTTGCTGGTTCCAACTTAAATGCAGCATCTAGCTTACAAAGTGCTTCAATCTAATGAAAAGTAAATATGTAGATTTTTGTGTATACATTTCAGCCATGGTTAGCGTACTGCAGATTTCATAAAGATAACAGAACGTTCTGTACATGTATAATTACATATTTGAGTTGATTGCAGTAGCACTAAATCTTTCACAATTGTTAGTATCCTCAACTTTCATTAAAAGCTAAAATCAAGTGCTTGGACATACTTGGATATATCAAAAAAATATGATACAGGGTTTTTTTTTGGCGCCAAGCAGTGATTACTACCAACAGTGACCACTAGATGTCAGTTCAGTCTTGCAGTCATTTGCTTTAATAAGTCGATTATAAACTAAATGCGACTCTTTCCAGAGCAGAGAGGCTCTTAAAAAAATACTTGAAAGCTGTAATAAATCTATTTTACAAAACATGTTTTGGGGAGTAAAAGCTTTTTGCATACACTTGAAGGCCATTTTCAGGCTAAGGCTTTTAAGACGATGGTGGTAACCATAAATTCTTGATCAAGACCTTACTTGGGCTTTCATCACTTGCTTTGTCCTTTTCTCTTTACTAGCAGTCCAATCAAAACTCATCTTATGTCTCTTCAACACGAGGTCTCTGTACTTCCTGAAACGAAAAGTAATTATAATGATCATTTACATGTCCATTGTTTATTTCATGCACAAATTGACATGTTCATTGCGAATGCTTCCTTACTTGCTTGTTCCTGGTTCCCTAATGATTGTGCTCGCTGGCCAGCAGGATGCACTTGATCACTTTGCCCATTAACATCAACCCTCATTATTTGCTTATTTGTCAAGATCTCCGTCTTATCCTGTGTTGCATTTTCCATCTTGTTTGGAGGATTGCTTCCATGCACTGGTTTCTTAGCAACAGGTGGCGGCACCTTAATTGGCTTTTTTGTTCCATTTGTAATCATCGTCTTGGCTTGGTCGGAAACCTGCATTATCTCAGCTGCAAGACTCTGTTTGAGGCTTGCTTGAACATCAGGAGAAGTAGGTGTTTCAATCACAACTCTTTTTGTGCTTTTGGAGAATATGAAACTGGCTGTAGATGCAGGGGACATTAGCAAGTCACATCCGTCTGGTGATTTAGGAGATGGCACGGGTGAAGTAGCACTGCTACCTGAAGATGAGCGAAGATTTAGCATTGCAGGTACTCCACTGCAGGACATTGCTGCAGTCTTCATACGTATGGCCTCCTGAAGACACATGGATGGGACTGCGGATGAAGCAGAGGACGACTTAGCAGGTGAGTTGGACTTCAAAGTTAGGGATCTGCGAATAGGCTTCTGTGGTGTTACTTGACTAGAAATACTATGATCCTCATTTGTTGTAGGCTCAGTACTTGGTTTGGAATCGTTGTTTACTTGGTCTTCACCAACATTTACAGATCTTAGTCGCACCATCTGGAGTAAAGAAGGTGTGACGAGTGGAATGTTGGCATCCTCCTTTGGAATAGGTGTGCTTTTGTGTCGACAGAGAAGTTCTTTGCTCCTGTTGTCTTTATCTACAAAGCTCAGTTGCTTTCGGAAGTTAATAGTAGATTGTTCTTCTACAGGAAGAGGAGGTGCAAGTGGAATGCTAGTGGAAACCAGCGTTTCCTTCTCATGTAAGTTCTTATCTGGTAAATGACTGGATATTATCGTAGAGGCTACATTTGTGTTTTCTATTTCAGCTTGGTCCTCCAAAAATTCTGATACACTGTCAGAAGACTTGTCTTGTTGTCTGACCTCCACACTGTTTTGTACAATTCTTTTTGGCAGAATGGTATGCCTTTCTGAGTCTTGTTCTGGACTACTGTCCATATCTGAGACATTCGTTGACAATAATTTTATACTGACCTCTTCACATGACTCTTCATGAAAATCGTCAGATATCTCTGACATGGGTTCATGTATGAATGAAGGGGGTGGTGGAGGGAAGTCAAGCTCATCTTGTTCCTCAAACATCAATTCAGTTGACTCTTCCATTGGTGGTGGAGGTGGAGGCCAAGAAGACTCTGGGAAAGTTACTTGTTCCACTTGCTTTTGTTCCTCCTTTTCGGAAGGTGGTATAGACACTGACATGTCTGACATCTTTTTAATAGGTGGGGGAGGAGGGTGGTGTTCTGGAGGTGGAGAAGGAGGTGGAGAAACACCATTGACCTCAGGTACTTCTATATTGAGTGTTTGCACTGATATACGATTCACGATGTCGGTAACAATGCAGTTTCTTTGGTTCTCATTGCTGCTCACAGTTGCAGCTTTTGTTTTTTCTATAGAGTTTGTTTGTGACAGCATGCTTTGATCAACTATAATAGATGGTACATTTGTTGTAGGAAGTGTTTGACTCCATCTGTCCTTTTGGTCCTCTATCGTTTTCTCATCTTGTGTGTGAGGGATCTGGTTTACCTTTGCAAGTGTTTCTGGACTTTTTAATTCATTATGTAAAATGGACTTTTCTGTATGCCTTACATCTGGAGGTTCTACCATCATTTGTTTATGCACTTGTGGTGATGCAGATTTAGTTAGCTCTTTTACAACTGTGTTCTCAGTCTTAGTTTCTTCTGTTGTCTGTGTCTTTGGAATTACTTGTTCATTGATTTGCATTGAATTTTTATTTTGAGTTTTACTTATTAATGACTCCAACTTATGGATGTTTGGGCCTGGGCCACATAGTAGTTCAAGGGTCTGTTTATTTTGAACCCAGGTTTCAGGGGGTGGGGGAGATGGGGCTTTTACCTTGGGTGGTGGGGGAATGTTGAATAGTGTCCTAAGAGCAATAGTTTGGTGTGTAGGTGTAACTTTGTTTTTCACTGTTGTAAGTGGAGGGGAGAATTTGAGTGGTTCCGATGAAGTGGTATTGGTTTGAATGTCCTGATGTGCTGTATCTGATATGACTGAAGACAGAGATGTTAGTGATGAAGACACCGAAACCACAGGTGAAGTCTTTGCACATACTCTCTCAGGTTTTGAAGGCTTTACTCTTCTCTTTCCAGGTGAGGAGGGACTGACCTCTTTAGGGGAATGCGTAGGTGTCCCACTTTGGCTTGAGTAGCCACTTGAAGGAGACAAAGTCCTATCAAAATTTTCACCACATTCTCTAGTTTTCTGTGGGGATGAGTTACCTGATCTGGCATGCCTTCCAGTGAAAACTTGATCAGGACTAAGTGGACTAGATTTCACAGTTGTGTGGAAGTCTGATCTAAGCTCTAAAGAATGGACTGAACTCTTCTTGTTTTTAGCGGACTGATGATTTTCTTTTGTACTGCTGATATCTCTGTTTGTTTGCTCATTATTATTTGGTGCCACATCTTTGGGATCTTGTATGTCTCCCTGCTCTCTCTGTCTCTGCATGTTTTCATGATGCAGAGAGTAGGTTCTCTGAGGTGGTGCTGGTGGTAATTTTGTCTTCATAACAGAAAGACTACGGGAGAACGAATGGCTGTTTCTGACATTGTCCCCTGCATCACCATACTCTCTGGGGTTCAGTCTGTGATTTGTACCTTTCCCCTCAGAACTTTTCCAACTGCTTGAGCTCGAAACACTCATGTCCTTTGGGATTAAAACCGAAATGTCTTTGGCGCTGTCAGCATCAAAGGTTGGTAGACACTTTCCTTTTGAAGAGATTGTGGATGAATTAGAGACTATAGTCTCCGATGATTGTGAATTGCTCCTGCTGGGACTAGTAGTGGGAGGAGCTTGATTTGTCCCACTTCCAGACCGTGAAGAAGATGGGCTAGCTGATGCCATACTACCCTTGCTAGCTGTACTTGCACTGCATCGGTTGTGATCATGATTGATTTCAATGATATCTATTGCAGCTGGCAAAACTGCATTTGGAATAATCTTAGATAAATATGTTGCCTGTGGAGAAATAGACATAACAGGGCCTTGAGGCTCTTGTAGGAAAGAGTAAGTGGTCATCCCTGGCACAGCAAGTGACTTAGGCCTCTGTGTAGGGCATGCTCCAAGTCCAAGCTTTCTGTTTAACTCATCTTGGTAGACAGAATGGATGTGGTTCAAAAGCAAGTCTTCATCTCTTGATGCCTGAAGGACTTCAATGTTCTGCAGGTGTACACGAGCCCCTTCATGATTTACAGATGGGAGATCTCCATCAATTGTTTGTAGAACAACTGTTCCAGATGAATCATCTTCACTGTCATGTCCTCTGTTTGGAAGCTGCTGCAGCATAGTTCCTCTTGCCATATCTAAGGTATACAAAATATATAAGCAATTATTATAATTTCTTTTAATTTTGTGGAAAATCATAGTCTTACATACTTGTTGGCACTACTGATTTGAGGTATGCTATGCTCAAACAATGATGCCTTAATATATGTCAATGGCTTTACATACCAAGTTCTCTTTGAACTTGCTGTGGTATTCCCATGATAGTTGTTCTTCGACTCCGTCTCTTGGACTTATCCAGTCGTTTAACAGGGTTTAAGGGCTTAAATGTAGAACCTAAAGAGTGATAGTTCATACAGAGATTAAATATTTTTTTAATTAAAGCAATATAAAATGTATTTTTTCCCTTTGCATTGCTATTACTATGATAACTTGCTCAAGCTACTGCCATGCAGTGTAAACCAGGGGTGTCCAGTTCCTGGAGATTTACCTTCCTGCAGATTTTAGCTTCAACTTCTACTGTTCAGGTCCTAATAAATTAGTTCAGATGTGATTGAACAGGGTTAGAACTGAAATCTGCAGGAAGGTAGAGCTCCGATACAGGGCTGAGCACCACTGGTGTCAACTACAATTGTTAAACCTGAAAACAAATTAGTGGGGAAAAACAAAGAGGCAGTGCCACTAAGCATGTTTTATTTTAAAACTTCTTATTAAGTCAGCATTGTATACCTTGACGTGTAAGCACTGGACGTGTAGAGACTGCTGAGGCAGTCGACACTGAAATGATGGAGTGTCCTGAGGTGCTATCGTTCTCAAGCGATTCATTCCTTTCTTTTGAGCTTGTGTCTTCCTCTGGCTGTGCAAGCAAGGAGTTCAACCGTATAAATACATCCTTTAAAGGTTCAATTTATACATTATTTCAACCCTTCTTTAAAATGTGAAGAAATACGAAATTACAGTTAAAACATTTTCAGGAACTTGTTTATGATTTTACTTGTTACCATATTGTACTGTATTTGTGAAAAACTTAAATTTCAGAGGCTTACCACAATATGGTCATCCTGAAAGTCCACTCCATTTTTGTTCTCTGTATGGAAGAAAGACTGAGTGAGGTGCATCAGAAAACACAAGTGTATGTTAGAAGGCCAGAATGCGAGCAGTGTGTTTTGTGTAATTGGAAAAGGTGGGTGTAATGCTCACCCTCCTGCTGTAGTATCTTCAGTCCCTCTTGAGCCTCTGTATGCAGGTCCTCCAGATATTTTGGCCTGCTCCCCTCTATGAACACATTCTCCTGGTAGTGCTGGGAAGCAGTGTAGTGTACAGTCAGCTTTCTTTGCTCATCCTGCTTCTGACCTGGTAGAGACACACAGACAGAAGGAAGGTGAAGGTACGCACACATAAATGGATGCACTCTTTCACAAAACCTTCTCATTAACATGCAGTATGTCATGCAGGGATATAGAATCCTGCTCCTGAAAGACCAACATCCTGCAGATTGAACATATTTGTCTGTAGGTTTCTAGTTGATCCAAACTATTGATTACCTGTTAGAGTTAGATTTTTTACTAGGCTTGGAGTTTTCAGGAGAGTGGTCTACCAGGATCAGGTTAAAAGACCCCAGATGTATGATATCATAGGTAGTTCATCAATTTCAAAAGTTGCATTTAAATCAAATCAAGATGTTGATGCATAAGCAGGACAGTTTTGCAAAAGGCACAGAAAGGTTAACATCTGCAAATCATCATCTCTCTGCTGGATTTGGAAAAGCTTTTACACTAGATGACCTTCCTGACTCAACCGATCACAGAGGGTGTAATGACATGTGCAACCACAGTGCTAGGACACATGCACACTCTTAATGTCAATTTACAGTAGTGCATGTATTCACTCACTTCTGTGTCTGTGAGGAAAACCAGACCACTCTTAGCACGAAAAAATGCAAACTCTGTACCGAAAAGACCTGTGGATCACTCAATCATCCGGAGCTTGTGAACGTGATTTCTACATACCCATTTTGTGAATGAAAGGCTTTTAAATCTGGCTGTTAAAAGTTCTTACTCTGCCCATCCTTTCTTTGTCCATTGGCAACATTTGCTAAGCTTGGCAGCCAATTCTTGTTAGATCATTGACAGGAGTGAGTGGTACATTTTGATGGTAGGTGTCCAACCAAGTCATGGTTCAACTCAAGCTGTGACCAGGTAATCTCTTCAGATCTTTAATTCCTCGAAATACCAGATTACCCTTTCTATAGCTGCCCCTTCAGCATATGTCAGCACAGGGGGGCTTTGGTTTTTCTTTCTATACATTCATTTAAAATTGAAATATTACAATCAGTGTTCATAATTAACAAACAACCTTGTCTGTAATATAAAAAAACTGAGATGAATCCTTTAAACATATTCCTAAATCACCCAAGGTATTAAAAACATAGTTTAGTAGTTTTAGAATATATCTTATACTGAGGCTAGCTGTTAAATTTGTAATGTGGAGAACTGGGACTCTTGAGGGTTGCCCATCGTTGGACTGGGTCGCTCTCAAAGGAACAGTGAGACACTTCATTCTCGTCCCCCTATCATTTTCCTGGCGTACCACTAAGGTGCCTACTATTGACTGGACTTTCTATGTTTCCGAAAGGCACCGCAAAATTGATGAGTGTTTTAGGACAGGGACTTTCCCTTAAAAGAGACCGACTCAGCCTCTCAGCCATTTATGCAGATTTCTAACTGCTCACCGGGTATCAACTTTTAAGCTTCTTGTGTAGTACACCCCATGGGGAGTGTCAGGTGTCCTGCCACTGACTGCTGGCACTGTGATATAACAGAGACTGAAAACACAATCTGTAGGCAAGTGAACTATATAGAAGTCCAATTTGCAAACTGCTCCTGCATATAAAAGTAAGAATGTTTTATTCACGGTACAGCACAGCTCTATTTGTAAAACATTACCAGTTCCGCACTCATACACCCGTTTACAGCAAATATTCTAAATTTCACAAGACTCAAATTTCAAGTGAATTTCTGTCAACCCTTGTTGGGGGGGTTGCACTGTAAGTGTACTTTAACAGCTCCTTACCCTGTTTTTTTATTTATTTTTTTAAATATATTTTAACAGGAATTTCCCAATGAGATATGCAACCCTTCTACCAGGGGGTCCTGGCCAAAATGGCAGCACAAAAAGTTTCAGATATGAAATGAAATATGCATAAAATATGATTAATTGAATTTTACACAAAACATTTGCATGATTCTTCCAGGTAATAAAAGGTGGTTTTCCAGGTAAGATTTAAAGATGTTTCTGATATGAAAATACTCAATAATGTAGGGGCGAAGGAGAAAAATGCTGTTTTACCAAACTCTGACCATACTCTTGGAACAGTTAAATGTCATTTATAAGAATTTTGTTTACTATAACTGCAAGTATAATATGATAAAAGATTACAAATATAAGATGGCTGTTACCTTGGGTATGAATTATAATAGACCTAGCCAAGTTCTTTTTAAATAATCTAAAATGGAATAATCCTCGGTTGGCACACACTGATTCTGTAAATGTCATTATGAGTAAAGCACATTTTGGGAAGCTACAGATATTCAGAGAACTTTGTCTCTAAATCCACACTGACAGTTATGTTTTTACAGCAGTGCATATTTTATGCTATTGTAGAAACCAGTACCTGCATAAAAAGTTAACTTCGAAATTATTTAACTCAAGTACCACTGTCTTGATAAATTTACTGTAATGCATCTTGCACTGTGCACTCAATATGTAAACAGTATTTTAGGAACTAGGTGAAATGTTAAATAAAAGGATGCATCTACTCACCCTTCTTCTTGAAGATTGACAACAGAGACCGAACATTTTTGCTTAAAAACACCACCATGTCTGTCTTGAGATAAGGGTCCAGGCAGAGATCATTGTAGTTTGAAAGGGTCTCTTAAATAATCAAAGACCAAGCAGAATCATGACTACATCGGTCCACTAGTGCGGCCGCAGACTTACTGGTGTCAACTAGCTGTCTCTTGTGAAGGATAATCAGGTCGGACACAATGAGATCTACTGTGTGCCACCAATCCTCCAGCTGCCCTGATCTTTCCCACCCCTCTTCATCTCTCCTCCCCCTCGGCATTGGCTTTTGTCAGCATCTTAACTGTGTGGTGTCCCCCCAACTTGTTGGCTGTTTTCCTCCATTGTATGTACACAAACCGAACTTGCCTTGACAGGGAAGCCTGGCTAATCTGCCTCTCCTAAAATCTGCTTGGATTCATGCCATGCTATCAGGGCAAGGCATCTGCTTCACAATTTGACCCACAGTGCACACTATAAATAGTAAAAGGAGCATAGATTTGATTGAATCTTTCAAATGTCTAAAACACCTGTTGAAAAGTGTTCCAGGAGCTATACCTGAAAATTGAGGATCTGGGTAAGTAACTTGAAAAGTGAACATATTTTAGTGGGCTTTATGATGATTATTTGAACATTTAGAGCATGGATGCATCAAGCTGTGAGCGTTAAATTGGCTTACTTTTAATGGTGTATCACTATACGGTCCCCATCTGGAGCTTTTTGGCCAATGGAAAATGATGAACTGTTCTATATGTATAAGATTGAGAACTCTACCTGATTGGCTGATTGATTTAGCAAATGATTGGGTGTTTAAAATAAAAGTGAAAGTGATAAAATTGAGTAAATTAAAGAGGCCAAGATGCTTTTATTACGTTTTGTATGACTCTAGGCCTAGTTTTAGGATTGATATAGACTCTAGATTAAATATGTGACCCTCTGTACCAGATTGGTATTCCTTTCACAGAGATGCAGACCTAGCATGCAGGCTTGCAGTGTCAATACCATTTAAACCATTCGTTTACCAAAAAGTGAGCATTTTGATTCCCGCACTCGAAATTGAGTCTAAAAGTTTTAGAAACAAAAACCACAAAAGGTGTTCTGAAGAAAGTTAATGCTGCTATTTTCCATGGATACAGTATTACTGTGCGTTTACACCGAAAGCAGTGTCAAGTTGTCAAAGTTGCTGGAAGTTATTCATTCTCAATGGGTGGCAGTGAGAAGCGGATGTTGAGGAGAGTTGAAATCAAGTAATTTTTATGGTAATGAACTATGACGTGGATCGATGGCAAGCAATTGGAAAGTTGAAGTCCACCGCTTGGGAGGAGTCCAGAGAACACAGTCCTGTGAAATTTGGTTCCGACCACAGTTGTTACCAATGGTTTGATTATTACGGGCACCGGGTTTACAATTCGTCACCTTAGAATTATAAGGTTCTATCTGACAATTTTTGTCAAAATTTAGTTATTGACATATTCTTAGTAAATGACAACTTATTTACATTATGGGATGTGTTTTTATAAGTTGTTTACATTTTAAGACTTTTTATTTAAAAAACAAAACGGTTTATCTACAAAGTTGAACTCTAGCTTGTCTCTATAAGATTCGTTCTGTGAGCCAATCAGCATTTTTAATGCACGCACAAGGACCAATCAGGATCAGCTTTCTTTGTCATTTTGCCGGGATGCTCCATTGACAGCGAAAAAGATCAAAAAGACGAAATCACACAAAATCAGAGTCGGCTAAATAATGCCACATTACACAAATTGAGATGTGTGTAAATGTGATGATTTAGAAGCATTTTTTTACACTGAGATTAAATGTTAAAATTTACACTGTTGAAAAAGAAACAAAATATAAAAAAATTATATATTAAATGTGAAATATTTTTATTTGTGTGTATATATAGTCAGTGAAACACTTTTCAGTGTTTATTCAACTCATTTGCTCATCGTCTGTTTTCTTTTAAAGTCTTTAAACGTAATACTAAGCCTTGAAGGGCACATACTTAATTTAATTAATGGGGCATATAATTCAATAAATATAGAATAAAATTCAATAAATATAATTCAATAATTCATATAAAGCATACAGTTTAATAATTATGACCATATTAATTACATAAAATTAACATCTGTACTAGATGAAATATTCAGCACAGCCTTGTATGTTAAATTTTAACAAGTAAAAAATATTCATCCAAAACAATATATAAATGTTATAGAAAGCAGAAATTTTACTTTCTTAAGCATCAACATATTGTTACACCGCCAAATTGTGAGTATTTTTGATTGTATTTTTTGAAAAGTAACGCTTCAATAAATGATCTGCCAGATAGAACCTTATCATTCCAAACGGAAAATGACTTTTCAGAATTAAAGGTTCTATCTGCATTTACCATGTTTTTGTTACTCCAATATGCAAATTAAATAAAAAAGTTTTGATAATTTACATTTAGAGTACTTTTAGGGTCTCTGTCATGTTAATGTATGAAAGAGAACTGTTACACACAT